CCCCCCCCTCCCTTCCGCTCTTTCTCTCCCTCTCTTTCTCTTAGGGTAAAGTAGGTTTATTTTTGTTTATAATTATTCGGTCAATATAAACAATAGACCACGAAATACCTATAAGTGAGTTTATTTCAGACAAATAGAAAGTTTTTTTTCCTCTCTCTTAAGTAAAGTAATGCATTCATTCCTTCCTTCATTCCTTTACAAAAATTAAAACATCAGTTACACAGTGTCCTACCTCGACTCACCCATCCAAAAAAAATAACCCTTACATGCCTGTGGTTTTACTGTTTGTAACATCAGTGTCTTGTGTACTGTTTCTTTACTTCTTCTAAGTATTGACCTTTACTTCAATGTTTCGTGCAACAAATGTTCCTTTTCTTTCCAATCTGACGTTTTTGTCAATGTCTAGTCTACTGTTTCTTCCTTTTACTTTGTTTGTTGCGATTATATTGCGCACTGTTATTTCATTTCTCTGTTTGGTAGTTTTGTTTAGTTGTATCTTCCGCATAGCTCGTTGTCTTGTCTCCGATTAAATATTTCGTTAGAATCTTGCACAGTGCTTTTTCTCGTCTCTGTTTGATTTCCAAATTAATATCTACCTCACTGTTTGTTCCACTTTACATTTGTTTCCTACGATAGAATCTAGCCCCCTGGTTTTTCCTGAACCCTTTAACTCCCATGAGTGACCAAGACAGAATTTCTCCTCACAATATCAACTCAGAACCAAGCAGACAAGTGAGGAGAATAAAGAAGAAAACTCAATCAGGGAACAACGAGTTGATCCAATGCCAAATTCTCCAAATTGAAATCATGAGAGTTTTATGGCGGAGAGTAGGGAGAATTACTAATGAGATCTTGGGAGTTTGAGGGTTAATTCTAACTAATTGTCACGTCCGTATCCTATGAACTGTTTGCACTCTTCTAGTTGGCGCTAGCATCTCACGCAATGTTTTCCTCCCTAATTTTATCTCAATATTCCGCTCACAATTTCTCTTCATCTCTATTTGTTAATACTTTTTTTTTAAGTATATTGTACTCTGTTTGTTCTCTTACCCATTTTACTCTTAGATTACTATGTAGCGCCCAGTTCTCATCACTGTTGGATTTTTGCGGTAGTTCTCAACCATTTTTCTCTTCTCTGTCTGATTTTTACGAAACTATCTTCTCTCGTTTATTCAATTGTGTCCTAAGTATCTCGGCACTTTTTGTTCCCTCTTCTAATAGTTTGTTATGTTATCATTTCCTGCACCTGTGAACAGTCTTATTCACTCATTAATGTTCACGGGTGCATGCAACGAGAGAATTGAAAACAGGATCACAGTGATTTAAATCAAAGATTAATTTTGAGTTTTGACGACACTTTGCTAGCTTTCTCAAATTTTTATACATTACGCTAATTTCTTGCGTTCAGTTTTCCCATCTCAAATTATTGTAGTTCCCTATCGATAGTATACTTCATAGATCAAACGGCTAAATTTCAGGTTTCCAGTCACCGTCGTTCGCTTTCGATTAAGCCCTGGCTACAAATTACGCGAAATCTACTACTTGACTTGAAAAAGAAATTAAAAATGTCTTTGCAAAGTAATACCAGTGTCCAATGAAAGACAACGTACAGGAAGGAGAATCTTTTTGTACGATCAGTAGTCACTCTGTTTCTTCTCCGCCTCTTTGGTGTCCTCTCTGAGTTCTTCTTTCCTAAAACAAACATTATACATTTGTCACTATGTCAACTTTAAAGTAAACGGAACAGATAAAACAGTAAACGGAACATCGTCATAGCGTCTGGCATCGTATCGACCTTGAGTAATAATTTCTGAGTATATTGCATACAAAGAAACGCTAATTCAAAGCCAATTTTAGAAAGCCTTTCGAGCAAATATTCTGGCTTCGAGCAATGGATAAAATCAACTTTTTCTTCTTGGCATTTTGTGGATGAAAGACAAAGACAAAGACAACAAAAAAATTACGACAACTAAGTGAACTGAACAAGTTAAGTGTGCTGATCGGTTTATCGTAGAAAATTGCTCATTATAATCAGCCTTACCCTTTTTTCATAAAATCAAATGTCACGTTATCCCCCATCAGCATAAACGGAGCCCATTGGGCAGGTTTGGGGTAACCATTGCTTCTCATCCATTGGACAGCCTGGTGAAGAGATTCACTGGCACTTTCTCCACGAACAAGGTGTTTATAGAAATGTTTCATGAGCTTCCACGTTGCTTTGTCTTCTAGAGCCCACGATGCTACCAACACTGAACGTGCACCGGATGCTAAGAATGCTCGAGCGATTCCAATAACTCCTTCCTTTTTAACCAATCCGCGCCCACTGTGAGAACAGCTGAGTACTACCAGTTTAGCTCGCACTTGAACTCCTTCAATGTCGGACATTGTCAGGAGGTAGTCTTCCTCTTGTGGGGTACTGTTAGTAGTACATTGAGGAGAGAGGACAATCTCTCCTCTTTCGGCATTTCCATGTGCGGCAAGATGTATCAGACTCACTGAAGGTATTGCTTGAAGAACCGCCTGCTTTGTTGCGCGACTTCCTAACAAAGGATTTGCGATTGTCAGAAATAGTTAAAGTTCTTACCGGATCCGATTGGATTTTCTTCTAAAATTGATATCAACATTGCTAAGTGTAGTTTAGAATGGTTACCAAAAGAGATCGAAATTGCATCATTAGAGCAAGGCTAACAGTACTGATGTAACCTATTTACCAGAAGAAAAAAATAAGTTTCAATCTTTGGTCGTTTATGTTTAACTGAATAACTTGCTATATTCGTTTTCCTCTAAAAGATGTGTTGGGTCGGCAACCTACTGATGGCGTCGTTTACTCTAAGAAAACAACAACCATCTGTGGCTTAGTGGATCAAGAAAGACAAATTGGACAAGGTAATTTATAACTGTCAATTTTCTATCCCAGCTGGCACATTTCTGGGAAATGATCTGGTAGTTTCACCAATTCAAATGTCTAATTCCCATATAATTTTGTCCAATTAAAACAGTCTTTTAATTTCAAGTTTCAAGCCATCAAACTGCAGGTTTAAAAAACTTTGAGCTTTGAAGCAAAACAAGCGAAATGTTATGGTAGATGAGAGATCAGTGTTAAATGTGTGATACATGTTTCCTTTGGAGGAAATAGAGTCAGCCGGTTTACCTTTACTATACGATCAACCTCAGGAAATGGCTTAATGGTTGTATAACGTAGCATACAGCCTGAAACTAAAAATCAAATTGATCTCAGACTTTTCACTTCTTTGTTAACGATAAGATAGTTGTATTTGAAGATCCGACGTTTATCTCTATGGCAGATGTTGGAAAGGCGGCAAGCATATTTCTCACCATCAAAAAGTCTCCCAACATGAGTGAAAAAATAACACGAACAAATAAATATGGCTCTCCGTGATTCGGGGGTTGTGTTGTTTGGTGAACCAGATTATTTTCTTTCTCTGAACGAGAATTAATGTAACTGCAAAGAAATACACATATATTTATTTTAATTTGCGTTCACCTATCAGAGGACACTGTTTAAGACGCAGATGAAATTTAAGATAAATGTAGAAAAAAAAAAATTCCGAGGATTTGATGGGTGCCGCTTGAAGAAAGGTGACTGTGTAATGATGGTTTAAAGTTTTATTACCATGGGTCGAGCTGAGAAAAGATGACCATGAAATCGACCGGAGCTAAAAAAAAACTTAAAGCGACTTAACTTGCGCAAAATAAGTAAATCTTTCGGAGCACAGAGAAGTAGGAGCTTTTTTGCGGGGTTTGCGTCCCATCGTTTCTGATAATTGCAGGAATGGGAACCGTGGGGTCAAGTCAGCCAAGTCAGCCCTTGTCTAGGTGTCAGATCTCACTCACCAAAATGCAGGAAACGCAGTAAAAATTGCGATGTGTTCATAAAAAAAAAGAATTTTACTACATAGGTCTCGGAAACTGGGACAAACATTTTCGCATATGAAAACTCCTCACATATTGAGATAAAGCTGTAATTCGCACCACGTTCCTTAAGACCACTGACCAAAAATCTTCTACGAGAATAGTAACTGGGCAGATATCTTTGCTCATTTACAAACTGAAATTTCTCAAAGGAAAGGCAAACGAATTTCGTCCCATTAAAACCCCCATTCTCCTTTTTTGATTTCATATTAGAAGGCTTTGAATCATACAGCGTATAACAGAAAGAAAGGTAGCCCCGGCAAAACAATGACCTTTACAGCCAGGCTTTTTCAATTGAAATCGTCCAATTTTCGGAGCTAAAATGCTTACCATGAAATATATGTAAAACGTTAAAAACTTATACAAAATTTATTTTCAGGAATAGACTTGCAGCCAGTTTACAGAAATGTCAAGACTTGTCAGATTACCTCACTGAAAACAGGAAACACAATTGATCAACGCAGTGGAGTGGTAAACTTAAACTGTTCTTTTCGCTTGCAAACTAAAACATTTTGTTTTCTGCCCTGTTTTGCAGCGATTTATTCGAATGAAATCAGGCTGTTCGAATATTTGCCTGTTTCTGTTCCTTGAGCTTGAACTTTTAACCAGCCAGACTAGTATAGATATAATTCGTTTCATAAAATTCTCATTTCTGAAATCGAGAGGTCGTTTGTTGTGAGCAACAAAGCCTGTAGTGTATGCTGCATTCCTTGCCAAAAATTGACTAGATTTTAATAAAATGCATTAAATTGCGAAGTACTTTAATATCTAGGTTTTGTATCAAAAATCACCCGAGTCTCGTTAAAAAGTTGTATTTTGATCATATAATACCGTTATGTTTGTTCACATGAAAACTTGTCACTGTTTTTTAGTCTTGTAAGCTTCCTCAAATGTGCATCGCCAACGAAAGTTCAGTTGAAGAGTTAGCACTGTTGAAGGGCCAAATAGAGCTAACAAGTGCCCATGGCTGCCAATGTATCGACCCTCAGTCTCGCTGCCATAAACAGAGAAACATACAGGTGTACCATTGGGGAACTAAATATGAGAAGACTGTTGATGTCGGTCGCTGTGTCGGCTCTTGTCACCAAAAAGGTAGAGTAAACGGCACAGCCACTTTAAATATTTAGTACAGAGGTTTCCATGGCAATGGAATGAAATATGACTAATGTACATCAATACTGCGGATTTCGACAAAATCTGTTGGAAGTGATAACGCATTTTTCTCTTGTTCCAGGAAAGAAATCTTGTCAACCGATGGCCAGTAAAGTTGTGAATGTCAAAGGTCCAAACGGTAAATGTTAGAAGATTTTAATATTGTTCGCTGTCGATCTTGTGATGATAGCGCTATCGTAATCACCATGGTCGTCACTGTCACCATCGTCATTTTCAATTAAGTCTCGAAAATAATCCGGGGTTGCTTTGATTTTGCTTTACTTCGCTCTGTAATTGGTCCAGAAAACTCACGCCGCTCTCCTAACCAATCAGATGCAGAACCAAAACCAATCATGAATTGGTCGCCTGCGTTTTCCCGCGCTTCTAGCAGTTTGCTTGGTTTTAGTTTGAGTTCTCAATGGTTCCTTAGGCTATAAGGGCATTTTTTTTCTTCTGATTTGTCTTTTTGAAAACTTTAGTTTTGGTTTTACGACACTCAGCCGACTAATTTTTTCAGGTGCTCTAACAATGAGCTAGAGGAGAGTCGTGCAGGCTAGGCCGTTTAACTACGGCCATGGTGACATACTTTCTGAAAATCGTAAATATCTATTGGACGGTCCGACTCCTGTTGGTACCACTCAGAGTTCTTTTTCTCCGAGTATGCCTGTGTCATTCACCGAATGACACCATTTTTACCTAAATAACCAGGCTTCAAAATGAACCATCTTCATTTACATCATCATCGCGCAAAAGTATCACGTACCGATATTTATATCCTAGCAGTATACAGAACGTTTGTCACCGTGGACCATGTTAAACGGCCTAGCCTGCCACGAGTCTTCTATAGCTCAGTGGTAAAACATCCGAAGTAATAATCGGAAAATGGTCGTAGGTTCGACTACTGTCGGGAGCACCTCAAGTCATTACCTCCGAGTATTCCTTTGTCATTCAATAAATAACATCATCTTCACATGGAATAACTATCACCAAAATGCGCATGTTGTTTAGGTAAATCAATAAAATGTAAAAGTTCATCGCTATCAGTCTCAGCCACTAAATCTTCATCCTTTCTTTTCATTGCTGAATGTTATTATTTCTGCAGGTGCGCACTGCGTTGAAAAAGTTTTAGAGTGTGGCTGCGCGAGAAGTTGTTACCGTATGTCATTTCACCAGTTGTACAAGAAAACCATATATGACGGAGATGCTGGTTTAAACAAAACCCTGGAAGTGGTAAATATATGGCACTTATCCGGGTTAATTGGTAGTTTTTCTTTGGTTGAGTGCATGTGTTTATCCTATAACGTTAAAGCCATAACCGGTTCAACACCCCTTCCTCTCCCTTCCCCCCTCCC